TATTTCTCTTTTCCTTATTCACTCCTTATTTCTTCTCTTCATCTCAAATTGATCTAGATTTCTTTGTAGTTCTCACACACCTAACTCCTAGTCACCCATCTATCACCTTCTCCAGCCTGCCTTCTCTGATCACCATTCCCTGTACCCCCAGGTGGGGCTGAGTTCCTTTGGTTCCCACCCCCTTAACCTCCAGGACCATGTGCATTAATTATTTCAGTTTCCAAATATTTGGGGATTTTTTAGATATCTTTCTGTTACTGATTTCTAATTTCATTTCATTTTGTTCAGAGAGCATACCTTTTATGACTTTAATTTTGCAAAACATTTTTAGAGGTTTGTTTTGCACCCCAAAATTTTATCAGTCTAAGGAATGTTCCATATGTAGTTGAAAAGAATTTTGTATTCTGCTTTTGTTAGGTGGAGTATTGCATGAATACAAGTTAGGTCAAGTTTGTTGATAGTGTTATTAAGATCTGTCTTTCTACTTGTTCTGTTGATCACTGAGAGAAGTGTTGAAGTCGACAGCTATTGTGAAGGATTTGTCTGTTTCTCCTTGAAGTTCTCGCAATCTTCACGTATTTTGAGGCTCTGTATTCATGTATTTTGAGGCTTCTTCCTAAAGTCCACACACCTTTAGGAAGGATTATCTTATCCTCTTACTTATTTAACCCCTGTATCTATATCTTTATCTGTTAAGACGTGCAACTGAAATGGCCTGTTAATGATCTGGCCCTTCCTTCATTACACCCTACTTTGGGCAGGGAATGTCCCATTCAGTCTCTGTAGTGCCTGGTTAAATCTCTTGAATGCAGTAGGCAGCACAGGTAATTGTGGAACTGAATGTTGAGTCAAAGCCTGAGGATTGTTTTCACCCTCTGTACTGTCCAGTATGGTAGCTACTAGACAAATGTGGAGAGTTAAATTAATTGAAACTAGGCCAGGCGTGGTGGCTCACACCTGTAGTCTCAATACTTTGGGAGGCTGAGGTGGAAAATCACTTGAGGCAGCAGTTCAAGGTGAGCCTGAGCAACAAGGTTCTGTAAAAACCCTGTTTTCACAAAAGAATTATAGTTGGGCATAGGATGGCGTGCCTGTAGTCCTACCTATTTGGGAGGCTGAGGTGGGAGGATTGCTTGAGGCCAGGAGTTCGAGGCTCTAGTCAGCTGTGGACTGTGCCACCACACTCCAGCCTGGATGACAGGGTGAGAACCCATCTCTTAAAAAAAAAAAATTAAGTAAAATGAAAACTTCGGTTTCTCCAGTGGCACCAGCTATTATACGTTCATTTCAAGTGCTCTGTATTCACGTGTATTGCACCACACAAATGTAGAGCATTTGGGGCATTTCACATCATTGCAGAAAGTTCCCCTGGACTCATTGTAGGCAGTCTGCGTCTGTTAGACCAGTGAGAATTTACCTAACATCTCTTTTTTTTTTCTGGCCTTGTATTTGCCCTAAATCCTGCACAGCTTGGGTAGCCCCAGCGATCTGGCTGAGTGAGGTCCTCCTTTGTGGAGACTCTGGGCCCCGCGTTATTTGTGTATGTGATGGTACCGCATTTCTGCAATAAGATTTGGGGTCATGTGTGAGATGACTTTCCATTATTTGTTGTTCTTTGTGGTAGGGTGAAGAGGCAGTCAGTTAACACATAATTAGAAAATCTGCCACAGTCCTGGTAAAATTAAGCTAAGAGCCATATATATAGGCCAGAAGGGAAGGAAGGATTAGGATTCAGAGACTTTTGGTTGAGAAATTAAATTTGATCAGAGAATTTCAGTGTTATAAAAGTGTAAATGTTGATATGCAAACTGAATTGTGAGATGTTAGTATGTCCTAGTGTGACTGGATTCTCCTATATAAAACCTCTTTCTCAGGAGTCTCTGGCCAAATTATCTATGGAACCCCCTGAGATTTACTAAGAAAGTTATGCTTAGACTCCCGTCTACTCATGGATATGTTCTGTAATTCACACACTTGGGAAACGGCATGGCCATGTGATTCATACCCAATGGCAACATTCAGTAGGTGCAGTTTATGTATTTTACTAGAAATATGGCTTCCTGCTCGATTTCAGAATGTTCATAGTGCCTCTTTTGAGGTCTGTGTGTATGTTTTATTTATGGACGTTAAAAAGTTTCAGAAAGGCGTATATTACTCTGTGTGGAATTTATTTTGTCCTTGGACCAAGAAGTGGTCCAACACTTAAAACAGTGAATAACATCTTAGCCCATCCTAAAACAATCCTTCCTAAAGGTTTATGAACTTAATAACAGAGCCTCAAAATACATCAGGACTCAGAACTCCAAGGAGAACCAGACACATCCTTAACAATATTGTAGACTTCAGCACTCTTCTCACAGTAATCAAGAGAACAAGTAGACAGAAAGTACATTTTTCTGTGTTTTTGTAGACATCAAAATTATTTCACACACTTCTGAAAGTCTCATTCAGTAAGTTACTCATTTCTCCACCTTATGACTGTACTGTGCTTTCAAAGTGCTGTGCAAAGAATAAAAAGTTTTAAAGTGACTTTGCTGTAATTTCAGATACGTATTTGAACTTTTGAGTCTGAATTATGCAGGTGAAATGCATTGGATCTCTGATCCACTGTAAACTGGGAAGATTACCTTCTTCCAGGTATGCTGGTTGTCCGTAACTGCCTTAATGGCGTGAGTTGTGAATCTTCTCTGTGTCGGAAGAAACCTAACAGTGGAGATTGTTTATGGCAAGAGTCACAAATTTACATGCTCAGAAGGTTAGGATCCTCTGTAAGGTAAAGACATGAAGTGCCCCCTTCTTTATTAACACATAACTGCATTTGCTGGTATCTATTTGCCTAGAATTCAGGCCCTTTTTGCTGTTAC